GGCGCAGGTCGCGGCGCGGCCGCCGACGTCGTCGCAGGCCAGGGGCGTCGCCGCGCCGCCGAGGACGCAGTAGGACCCCGCGCAGAGCGCCGCGCCGAGCGGCGGGTCGAACGCGACGGCCACCGTCGCCGCCGCGCCGAGCGGCAGCGCCGCCGGCGCGGCGGCGGCGGTCCGGTCGTCGTCGTCGTAGTAGTAGAACGCGACGCTCGCGCTCGACGCGCCCGTCGCCGCGTCGACGACGCGGAGCGGCGCGGACGCGACGCCGGCGCCGAAGTCGAGCGGGCCCGCGGGCGGCGCGCGGCACGTCAGGACGTCGCCGGCGACGTCGGCGTCGACGGTCGCGGCGCCGAAGGCGCAGCGCGTCGCGTTCGCGGCGAAGGTGCCCGCCACGACGACGACCGTGCCGCCGCTCTTCGGCGCGCGCCGCGGCGCCGCGGCGGCGATCGCGACGCGCGCGCCGTAGACCAGCGGCAGCGCGTCGGAGAAGTCGACGCCGTTGTTCGCGACGGCGAGCGACGCCCCGCCGGCGTAGATCTCCGCGGGCACGGCGCAGTGGACGACGCCGGGCGACACGTAGACGCCGACGGACGCGGCGGCGCCCGCGCGGCACGTGAGCGCGGTCCCGTTCGCGAAGCCCGATCCGGTGGCGACGACGACGTCGCCGACGGACGCCGACAGCGCCTCGAGCGTCGGCGGCGCCCCGGCGTAGGAAAAGGCCGCCGGCGCCGCGGCGCCAAAGTCCGCGCCGTTGGCCGCGAGCGCGACGGACGCAGCGCCCTCGCGGGCCGCCTCGGGAGTCGCGCAGCGCGCGGCGACGACGAGGCCGTCGACGACGTCCGCGGTCGCCGCGGTCGCCGCGGCGCCGTCCTCGAGGGCGTCGCCGACGAAGAGGCAGGTCCAGGCGTCGGCGGCGTCGGCGGCGTGGTTTCCCGCGAGCGCGACGGTCAACAGCGTGCCGCCCGTCGTCGCGCCGCCCGCCGGCGCGAACGACGCCGCGGCCGGCGGGTCGCGGTAGCGGAAGGGCACGGCGTTGGACAGGGCGCCCGTCGGCGACCGCAGGACAAGGGACACGGCCTCGCCGCCCGCGGCGGCGGCCGGCGGCACGCGGCACCGCGGCGGCGCCGCGAGGACCGGGGTCACGGAAACGCCGAAGACGCACGTCCACGCGTCGCCGGCCTCGAGCGCGTCCTCGAGGCCCGGCGCGTCGAGGGCCGCGTCGCCGCCGCCGGGCAGCGCCGACGACGACGGCGTCGCGCCCGCGAGGACGACCATGGCGCCCACGGCGAGCGACAGCGACAGCGACCGCCGCGTCTCGCGCCCGTCGGCGTCCGCGGCGACGATGTCGAGGCTCGCCGTCGCCGCGGGCGTCGCGCCCATGGTCAGCTGGACGCCG